CATGAGCAGCCTGAAGCAGCCACATGAAAAAATTGATTTTATGTCATTAAACGACTAGATTACTGAAAAATGAGCTCTCAGGGCATAAAAATCAATATCAGTGTCTTTCATTGGGGCCCCAGATTCCTGGCAGTTAATCACATGGACATAATATAAGAGCGGACCCCATATCTTGATGTAATGTGTTGAGCAGGAACAGAATCCGTTTTAATAAACTTCAACTTTCCGAATATTGAATTCATTTTCACAGTTTTTTTTGTTTTTTGCTGAAAACAAACAAATGTTTCAGTTTATTTCAATATTCTTAGTGGGGTTAAGAGTAAAACAATATTCTGATAGGATGGATGCATGTTGCAAAGCAACAACTTTTCTATTACTGTATACAGAAACATATTTATACAGGTATACCCAAATATTAATATACAAGTCTCTCTATATATATATATACTTATATGTGTAAATATATAATAGTATAAAAATGTCAACAGCCGTATATTGATTACCTATTTTCCATATACACAGTATATCTATTTGTAAAAACACTGTATAGTTTATTTTTTTTCTGGCCAGTTTTTTTTTTTTTACCTAATACCAGAAAGCAGCGGTTAACCATTTAAAGGCAGCCAGGTTTCCTCAGCAGGAGGGATTGCTGCAATCAACACCTCCATCCATCTCCATCCTTTCATATATCAGAAATGAACTTTAAATCAAGCGTGTCGCTGGGTGAAAACTGGCGACGGCGCCCCCTATGTGTGAACCGCCACCCAGTGGAACCACCTACCAGCCTCAGAACTGGCTCCTCCCCCTCCTCCTCTGCTGCCGCTCGGAGCCGATGCTCCCGCCGGGCCGTTCGCCTCGCTGCTCGACGACTCCGCCCCTTCCTCCTCCGCTTTCGGAGCGAGCTCTTTCCTCACTTCGACCTCCTGGTGGAAGACAAGGGGAACCGAAGATGAGCTCCAAGATGTCGGCGGTGGAGTTGCCGAAGGTACTGGCGCTTACTTGGATGGGTGAAAGTGGACCGAGGGAGGAGCTACAGGTTCCCATCCTGCTGCTCTGGTCCTGACAGGAACATTCTGGAACGGCGCCCCCCGGTGGACCGGCAGCAGTGGCCTCAGCTCCAGGCGTCTGGGAAGAGTTGGTACCTGTGGAGGATTCAGTCAGCCCAGCTGAGGCCCCGGACGCCTCCTCAGCTCCGCCCACTGACGCCCCGGTTGGAGCAGAGCCCTGATCGTCCTCTTCAGCTGCTCCTTCATTTCCAGCCTCTAGAGGTTCGGCTGCAGGCTGAGCAGTAGCAGAAGATCCTTCCTCTGCTGCCGCTCCGGCTCCCTCCTTCGAACCCTCGCTCTGCGGCGCCGCCGATCCGCTCGCTTCTGTCCTCTCCTGTGACTGCTCCCTCTGCTGCCCCGCCGTTTCCTCATCCTCGTCAGAGTCGATGTGCAGCATGGCGTTGAGCCGCGTGTCCGTCGGGAAGCTGGAGCGCAGTTTGGGCAACGGTGCTGGCGAGGGCCGGTCCCCAGGACCCGACGGGGCCCCGATGGCGTCCAGGTAGTCGTTGAGGGACACCTGCCGACTGGTGTGGACCCCTGGAGCGGCGGCGGGCAGATCACCGCCTCCCATGTGTCCGTGCTCCTGCCACACACTGTCGTCTCCGTAGCAACAAAGGCCATTCACCAACAGGGGGCCGTCGTCGGAACCGGTGGGGGAGGACTCGCCCGTGACACGGGAGGACGAAGAGGCCTGAGGGAGGTCTTCATCATCAGACGGGCTGCCGGGGTCTCCGCTGCCCAGGATGGTTCCCATGGCATCTGGGTAGAAGGAAGGAGAGTGAGGAACTCTAGAATAGAATTTAAAATCCTCCTTCTCACATGTAAAGCCTTAAATGGCCAAGCTCCATC